AACGACTTAGGGCCAGCACCCAGTAGGAGCTAATTGCGGCTCGCAGTCCCGCAGTGCAACTCTCGGCCTGCTCAGCTCGAGCCCCAAAACACCCCAAACTGCCAAGCCCTAACATCCCAACACTTCCCTGAGCCTAAGCCCTCGTAGCCCTTTTGCATCCAGGACTCTCGCAACCAGCCGGGCAACTCCACAAACCCATAAACCGTGAAGCTCCAAATCCCATAGCCCTGAACCCCAGACCCTGAGCGCTGAAGCATCCTTGATGCGACGACGTGCTGCTCTGCTCAGGGTCGGCTGCGCATACTTCTTGGCCTTGGTTTTTCGGGGTCTATAGGTTTAGTGAAAGCTTTACAAAGTTTTCAACGCGGGTTTCTGAAAATCAGTGGGTCATGAAAGCAAAGGCCTAAAGGATTCTACAGTTCTTTGTAGGGGGGCTGGGCTCACGGGCTTTGGGGCCTATGAGGTTTCGGGTGTAGGTTTTATTTGTGGGTCGTCTACACAGGAAGATCATAGCACCATCCATCGTTTGAAACTGCTTGTTCATTGATTAGGCTCGATCAGCTTTATCTTGATAGTTTGGCTTAAGGCTACAGCTGCTGTCAACAGTGCAGTTGATGTTGTTAGTTATCGTTCCATGATGTTTAATGCGCATTGCCGCATTACAGTCAGGGCATGAGCAGGCGACAGCCCTTGTTTTCTGGGGAGCCACCAGAAACAACAAGCCTGCTGCAGAAAAATACAAGTCTTCGTATGAGCTGAAACTCCCAAGGAAGGGAAGTTCCTCACCGCAAGCAGCCCAGCAAAACCCCAGTCCGTGGGGCTTGAGAGCCACACACCCTCGAAACCCCTGAACACTTTCTGAATCGAACGCCCCGTCTTGTGTGCCACCCCTGGTTCTGTGGAACCCCGTGGCATATCGGAGATAGGTCTGCAGCAGTTCAGTGGGCAGCGGCTCCAAGCCAGGACGGCTGAGACGCGCCTCTGGGACTTTGGCTGCCCGTGGCATCTAGCTATGAATCTGAGCACATATAAGGTACAGGTAAAGCTTGTTCATTCTTCTAGTGGGCATGACTCTTTGCACCGAACGCAACAAGATGATAACAAAGACAGCCCTGATGCAGAAGGATGGACGCTGTGACTGATCGGGGCGAGTGTGAAGGAGAAGCGGGGATGATGCTGATGATGGTGGTCATGACGATGACGATGATGATGACAATTGTGATGCTGATGATGAAGATGCAGGCGATGAAATGCCCGGTCGACGTAGACACGTTTGTTCATACATCATCTTTGTTTCTGGGTATGCTGATGTGTCGCAGACAAGCCTCAAAGCATTCCACGTATGTGTCCTGCATGCGGGAAGAGGGGCACTAGCTATAGCAATAGCAAGCTCAGTAGTCGTCGTCATCGCCGTGACAGCAGCAGCAGCAGCAGCACCTGCAGCGAACATGATCCTGGCAGGCGTAGCCGCACTTGCTCTTGATAGTGGTATTGTCGTCATAAGTTTCTTTCCGAATGCCACAGCCCTGAGTACTCTTACTGTCTTTCAGTATAGAATCAGACACGCTTCTAGATACGTGTGTAGGTAACTGTATGTGTACACATGCATGTATAACTATAAGCATATCTACATTCATGTCAATACACGATGAAAGCAGCACCAACTATTCCACTGTCAAAATGCATCAAAACTTCTAGACATGTGCGGTGATATGCGGCGGGTGTGCGTAATAAACAGCACTGCGACAAGAGGGACTATGGGGGTCGTCTCGTTCGGGCGTTTAGTTTGTCGAGATGTTTGTCGAGAGCACGTGGGATCTTCAGGGTGTGCGACTGCGGCCAGTTTGTCTGGTGTGGGATTTCAGCATGATTATATTCCAGGTTGCATAGATTTGGGAGATCGCGGGCCGTTGGTTTTAAGTGCGTGTCGTTTGCAATCTCATGGCAGGTATCGGGCCAAGGAGGCCTGTCTGTATTCTCATAGTTGTTGCGACAAGGCGGGGGACTCTGATTCAAGGACTTTTGCCACTCGCAACTCGGTGGCCCCAAGGCTAGCGGAAAAGACTTGAGATTCAAGGTTTACAGTTTACAGTGTCGCAACTCGGACTCCACCAGACGAGGAGGTCTCTCGGTTCGACTACTACCAGCTCAGATCAGGATGGCACTCCCGGAACATTGATACACATCCGTACTAGGGTTTCGGAATGTCAGGGCTGAGTTCTCAAGGTTTGGAGTCTTACGATTTAAAGACTTATAGTTCATTACTGGGCATTGGTGACATTAGTAGCACTACTGGAAAGGGTTCTTTGTGAAAGTTCAACGGGATCCCGATGCAATCGCCATCGCAAAACAACCTCAACCGCCGCCCAATCAGAACCTGGAGAATATCAACAATTACAACAAGCTTTCTGCACCTATTACCCGAACTCCACACACCCTGAAACCTCAAACGATTCACCAAGAAACAACAGATCAAGGTCCTGAGCCCTAAACATCGGAAACATCACGAGCCTTGAGGCTGCATCGGTTTGCCTCCACATCCGCGCTGTTGGACCAGTCCTCCACTTGGCCTGAGGGGAGAAGGTTTTTGCTGCGAGCCCCTGGGCCAGGCTTTGGTCCAGGTGCTTGCTTAGGTCCAGGGGCCAGGTGTGGGAGAACGGGCTTCCCCGTCAAGCTGAACGTAGTGTTTCGAAGGTCGGTGTTTCGGGTGTCAGGATCTCGCTTCGAGGAATCATGGCGGTTTACCTGGAGAGGGAGTGGCACTGGCTCCGTGCATCCGCTGCAGCACGATGTGCCGGGACATGGCGGTGTCTTGACCGGGATCCTGGCGACCGAAGCGTCGAAGCCCATGAGACTTGGACCCTATACGCTAGACGCCATGCACCTTAACCCCAAACTCCGGACAAAAAAGTAACTTTGCACACTCGAGATGGAGCTTGTCAAAAGTCACACGCAACTAGCGGCAGAGCCCTCCTCGGAGCATCCGACTATGATTCTGCATGTTGATTCCAATGACATCCTTCCAGTGTAAAGCTAGCACAAGTGGAGCTTGCGCTCGATTGGGAACCTTGAGTTGTGCAGCGGATGTGGCTCTTAGCCAAGACTGTTGCGATGCTGTTCGACGGCAGAAGTCAACGGCAAGTTGATGCCATGATCGGCAGAAGCCAGTCAGCTGTAGAAGCCTTGGAGCTGAGGCATATTGTGCACAGAAGCATATGCCGACTATAGCGAGATGTCCGAAAAACAGCTTAAGTTCGACCGTTGCTTTGACATGGTTTAGTGGCCTAGCCCACCTGTGTCAACCACGTTTTTTACAAGACCAAGAAGTTCTACAAGGCAGTCCAGAAATCCACTGGACTGCGAGCCTGCGGGCCTACGGGCCTGCAATAGAAACCAAGGCCTCGGTGCGTTGCAGTTCTGTGCTACCGGGCCTGTGACCGCGCGAGAACCTTGGAACCAAATTTTTCGCGTTGCTAAACTTTCAGGACCACGTAGAATGAGCCTCTAACGGAGTCTTGCGTCCCTGACCCCGAAACTAGACCCTAGACCTACACTAATACCCCCCAGCCCTAGTACCTGAAGGCCCTCAACCCGCAAACCCATGTACAACTGCAAGAAAGTCCTCTGCCGTGCGCATGAGAAAGATCACGTCAAAACGGCTCAACAGTGCTTCGGACATCACCCCTTTCCTGAGCTTCGGTTTGACGGTGTCAGGTTTGTTGGGGTTTAAGCTCAATGGTCCAGGGCCCCTCAAACAAAAGCATGGCCCAAGGTTTCTGGTCTGGGGCTCACAGGTATTGGGGAACCTGGAGCTTGGAGCTCCCAATTCCGATCAGATGTTCAATGGTTGCTGGAGTTAGGGTTCGCAGGCTGTTATGTTTTAGCAGGTTTAGGGTTCAGTGTTCAGGGCTTGATGGCTGAAGGCTTAGGCCTCTTGGCACTAATCTCCTGGCGATTCTTGGGGATGCAGTACTGTAGGACCTCTCGCGACTGTATCAAAGCAAGTCGCACTTGGTCCCTTCAGTTGAAACCAGGCAATGCTAAATCAAACCTTGGTCACGAGACACAACTCCTCAATTCCTGAATCCAGCGGTGCCCCTCTCAAAACACCTTTTCGATTCAGCCACATGCTCTGCTTGCCTGGCTTGCCTGATTAGCGATTGAAAATCACACAGCACAGAAGGCCCCAAGCCCTCCCCAAACAAGCGTGCTGAACTTGTTTTGATCCCAGCTTCAGGTTCTGAGCCAGCGTCAGACTCATGTCCCAGGACCTTATTTCCCCACTCGCCAGGAAATTCTCAGCATATAAGCTCAAAAAGGCTAAAACCCGACAAAACCGGCGCAATTTTCAATCTACATACTCTGCCTGAACCCAAAACGAAAACAAAAGCAGACTTGTAGAAGTATAAGCGGCCCTTTGCTGGGATTCGCCGCAGTGACGACTGTGGTCCGGGCGGGCAGAGTGCAAACGATCCCGGCCTTCGCAATGGACACCGTCTGCTGCTCCATCGCCTCCAACAGCGAATGCTGGTCCTCAGAGATATCTGTCATCAAGGGGCCAGAAGGAAGGGTTCTCAAGACTACAGCTAACATAAGGCAACTTGAACCAGGGCCCTACCATCGGTTCTGTATGCTGGTTTGCTCTTCAACTCTCATGCCGCCCAAGTGTCATTGGGTTCGGGGGTTATTCAGAGAGTGTATACGCGACATATCCTACAGACAACGGAGACAACGGAGTTTGCGGCTACGTTTTTGGTAACTCCTGCTAGGAGATCCAGAAAGGTTCCTGGCTTAGAGCCTTTGAGTCGGGGGTTCGGGCCTTAGGAGGCTTAAGGCTTCATTGCTTCGAGCTTGGGCGATTCTTATGGTCGTGGGGACCCAAGATTTCTATCCGGGCACCTCTATTGCCGCGGTAGGAATTTCTGGCACTGGCCTTGGCCCTTCAAGCGTTAACCCACGCACTCCCTCAATGATGAGGACTCTTGAGACGGACCCTGACGAAGAAGAACCTGCTTGCACGACTGGAATTGTCGACTCTGAAGCCGCGTGCTCTCACACCATCTAGTTGAGGCTTTACGGTTTAGGGGCTTAGCGATGCTTCGCGGCTCGGGTGTTTGAGCTGTAAGCGAGCAGGATGAACAGGTTGCACTGGCTTTTCTTGCGTCTCAGTCTCACCTAGAAAGGCTTGAGGCTTGGGTTCAAGGTTTCCTGTTTCGAGTCTGGATTCGGGCTTTAAGCGTTAAGTCGCGAGACGTAGGGGGGTAGTGTTTACGGCTGCCGCAACCCTCGGATTCCAGGGCTTCAAGATTTGATAATAGGCACCACCACCGAAACCGCGAGAGACTTGTAAAGCCGACTCGAAGACAGCACACACCAAGACGAAACCCCAGAGTCAAACGGCCGTGAACATTGATCTGTCCGGCAGCCCCCAAGTCTAGGTCCCGAAACTCCACGGTTCTGGAGGCCTACATCTACAAAGCTCCAAGATATGCAAAACTTCAAAGACACTACACAGATAACCCCATACACCCCCTCTGCCCGGAAGTCCTAACCCAGAGACCGCTCCTGGCCCATCTTGTCAAACTCGTCGATACAGCAGAGGCCGTTGTCCGCCAGAATGAGAGCTCCGGCCTGGAAGTTGGGTCCTACACGCAGAGCTTACGCGGGAGGTATGTATCTCCGTATACACATACGGTATACTCTCAAAGACGGAACATGCTGATTTGGGTCTGTGCCTCCTACTTCCATAACATAAGCTGCCAAAGCGGGGGGTGGTTTCATCCGCTTGCGTATTCACCTCTCTGCCAGCAGTAGTAGTCTAGTAGTCGTGGTGGTGGTGGTGGTGGTGGTGGCGGTGGTGGCGGCGGCGGTGGTGGGAGCCGTAGCAGTAGCAGTAGCAATAGCAGAAGGGGGTAGTAGTAGTAGTAGTAGTAGTAGTAGTAGAAGTAGTAGTAGTAGTAGTAGTAGTGGTAGTAGTAGTAGTAGTAGTAGTAGAAGTGGTGGTAGTAGTAGTAGTAGCAGCAGCAGCGGTAGTATTAGTAGTTTAAGCAGTAGCAATAGTAGTGGTAGTAGTAGCAGTAGTAGTAGCAGCAGCAGCAGTAGTAGTGGCAGTAGCAGTAGCAGTAGCAGTAGCAGTAGCAGTAGCAGTAGCAGTAGCAGTGGCAGTAGCAGTAGCATTAGCAGTAGGAGTAGTAGTAGTAGTAGTAGTAGTAGTAGGAGTAGGAGTAGGAGTAGGAGTAGGAGTAGGAGTAGGAATAGCAGTAGCAGTAGCAGTAGCAGTAGTAGTAGTAGTAGTAGTAGTAGTAGTAGTGGTAGTAGTAGTAGTAGTAGTAGAAGTGGTGGTAGTAGTAGTAGTAGCAGCAGCAGCGGTAGTATTAG